GTCGTGTAATGAAAAAGCGCCCTTACAGTCATCAAAATATTACCATCCGACACTTATCAAGTTACTGATTTACGCGTAGTTGGACAAGGAAGAAGACGGCAACATAATTATACGACTACCGCCCACGCTTCGCAAATGGAACTATTTCATCTGGTCAACGACGAAGATCTGTTTGATGATGAGGACAATATTACTGGAAGTAAGGAAAACTTCATTGCTTGTGAACCTATAAACGACAACAACAGTACAAATCAATGCAACGACGATCCAAATAAAAATTTAAGCCGAGATAACAGTAGACCAAAGAGATGTAAAAAAGTGCCGCATTACTTGAAGGATTATAACTTGTTTTGAAGGGACGAGGTCGTCCAAAAGTCAGGATGGTCGAGTGTAAAAGTGTGCACGTGAACATTAATTATATTCTTATTACATATTTAGTATTCCATGTTTTGGCAACAGCAGTTCTTGTGTACGATATAGATTTTGAGTTTTTAGAATAACGGTGTGTGTAAATTTTATTAAAAGTATTGTTTTGTTTTTCTTTTAAAAGTTGTTTCTTACATCAGCGTGGTCATTTCAGTAAAAAAAACATTTTGCTTCGCTCTTGTAAAGTACAAAAAAAAAAATAGTTTTTTGTTGCTTGTTTATAATTAAGTTTAAGATTGAATGATTTTATTGTTTTCAAAGATGTCTTGCAAAAAGCATTAAAGGTTTACCTTTTAAAAAGCGATAAAATAAACTAGGATCATCCAACATCTTATTAGATAGCTCAGGCAAGGTGCGTTTTTTTAACTGAAATAGATTAAAATATAAAATTTATGATTTTTAAAAATACTTAATTTCCTATAAATTAAATATGATTAAACATTTTTAACGAAAAGAAACAATTGAGTGAAATTTATATTTACTTAATTTTTTTTACAAGTAAAAATGAATTGCACTGAAGCAATAAAGATAATACTTAAAATAACATGATATTTTACACAATTATGCTAATTACTAATGTTTTAAATTAAGATTTATATGTATTTTTAATTTATTCACCTCTTTTATTGCATTTTTTTCTTCATTGAGAAGGTCATCTAGCCAAGTCGTAGGCCTGGAATCATCAAAGCTTTTCAATCCCATCGTCTAAAAATTAGAAATTATTAACTGGCCATTTTCAAATCATCATTTATTTATCCTTTCAACAATTAAAAACCAATAATTTGAAAATCATCCTTTCAATAATTGAAAGCCAGTAATTTGAAAATCATCCTTTCAACAATTAAAAACCAATAATTTGAAAATCATCCTTTCAATAAGTGAGAACCAATAATTTGAAAAACATCCTTTCAACAATTAATATCCAATAATTTGAAAATCATCCTCTCAATGTTTGAAAATCAATAATTTCAATAAAAATCAAGATAAATATAAAAAAATGAATCTTGAATTGCTCACTGAAATACATTTTTATCTAACTTAATACAATTATTTCAGTAAGTAATGTTTTTTTTTTCTTCAAAAATCATCGAACTTTTTATATATGTTTTAAAAACACGTTAATTTAGTTAATAGTTGAGTTACTTTAAAAAAATCTTAGCCAGTAAGAAGATCATTCATTAAGAAAAGAACGCTTGCCAACTAAGAGCTAATCTTTCTACCGTGGCAAATGTACACACACCGTCTACCTAGTTTTTGCGCGTCATTCTAAAATAAATCATTTTCCAGTCAGGTTTATTTTCAATTTCATTATCTCGCCTCGAAATTATTTTACTTGAAATCATTTCTAATTGAAATAACCAAGATTGAAGCGCATAAATGTCTGATTGGTTTGTTTGCGTCTCGGATTCATAGTAAACAAAAGGGAAATTTCGGAAATTTACATTAGTTTCCATACGCTTCCGTGCCTAAGATTTCAAGTAATTGCGCATGCGCACTTCTAGTGAGCATGCGCAACTTTGCAAGCGCAGGGGATATGCGCATGTGCCCATGAAAAAATATCTAACTTACGTAAGTGAAAATAAGAGATTTTTCAAAAATCCTTGAGGAAAAAACGCTTACGTAGTGGGATATCATTTTAACTTTTACATAGTGGGATTTCATTTTAACTACAAAATCAAAACAAACATTTTGAATGGATGCAGATTATGTCTTTGCTGTGGCATACGATTCAAGATTCTTTACAATACGTAAAATTGCGGTTCTGTGAGCAGAAAAATTTGGAAGTTTATAGATTTCGTTGAATTCAGCGATAAAGAATGCAGCTTATTATTATTAAGATTTAAAAGAATTTTATTATCTTACTTCTTTTAACAAAATCGTATTGTTAAAATAAATATAATTTAAGATTTTTAAATAGCGAAAATATATCTAGTTTCTTATGGAACTAGTGCAATTAGACAATCATAATGTTAAACAAAAATTAATAAAATTATTTATTTATTGAATGATCACTTATTTCTAAATTTGATCAAAACATTTCTTCAAATTTGCATTCCATGTCCATGTTTTTAGTTAGAAGATAGGCTTAAACAGAAAACAGCATTTAACAGTTATAAATAGTGTGCTTGTAACTCTGCTCTTGTAGTGTAAATCGCGTCAACATAACGTAAAGATACGTAGCATCTAAAATAAACGCGAACATGCGAAATTGCTTTAATCTTACGTACGAGGGCGTACGGTAACTAACTAAAATGTGTGAAATATCCCTAACATGCATAATCTGATAATCTTTAAATTGTAAGTGAAGAGCTCCTTACCTCTTGGCATCTGGAGTTATATAGGATTAAAATGGGGAATTTTACATTAAACTAAAACATTCAATCAATACCCATAAAATTAAAGATTAAAAATATTTGATTTTTTTAAGAAGAAATTTTATAAACACCACAAGCTGAACCTCTGGAAAATAATTCTGCTCTGCAACGAACATGTATATCAAATTTGAAATACAGGACTAAAGTTTATTTTGAAAAATTAATATTTACTTGAAGAATATTTTGTGATTTCAGTAAAGATGCTGCGTTAAAAAAAATGCTCACATTTAAGCAATAAATAGAAAGTTAGATTTAACTTTAGATTGGAAAGTTATGAATACTTTGGACATTTTTCAACTTGGATACTTAAATAAATATTAAATTGAACTATTTTTAAGAGTAAAGTACTTTTTCTTTAACTTATTAACTTTTGACTTATTCTTAAAAATTTCTATTTTTATTTCCAGCTGATTCCGGGCAAATTTATTTTTACTTTTATTTATTTCACACAAATGCAGGTATCATTAAATGTTATTTCATGAATGAAAACATGGTAACTGTGTATAATGAATTCTAATAATAAAAGATGAACCGAGAAACGGGTTGATAGTGGTTGCCAATACTTCTTTTTTAAATTGGAAGCAGCGATGCCTATCAATTTAATATTTTAGTCTTAACGTTTTTTTTCATTTCTTGCGTCATCACGATATTATACATCTTCCATTAGCATTTTTTCTGAAATTTCCAAAACTTATTTGGAATAAATACTTGATAGCTTTTTAGTTTAAAAAAAAACAGTTATTTAAAAAGAAACTATTAGTCAGTAGATAATGAATCACTTCGTCAGAGATAGAAATTTTTCGAAAACACGAATTCAATGTAACATAATACTGCGAAGTTATCACAATTTTATTAATGTCGCTCGAGCATATTGAAACGCTACCATAATTTTTAAGTTTTACATAATCACAGAAATGAGACTTTTAAAAACAGCTTAGTTTAAAACATAATTTAATACTATAAACTAAAAAATACTCTGTTTTTAAAAAAATAACACAGTTTTTTTTTTACATTTTTACTTTTACTAAATACGCACTGAGGAGAAGAAATAGGAAATAATTACCATACTGAATAATAATCACAGTTTTCTTAAGTATGGTTAATAAAAATAAAATATATGGTACTTATACCTTTCCGTTCTTGGGGTTCCGGTTTACTGGAAACTCCGGTTTTCAAAATTATAGTTTCTATTACCACACATTTAGTAGAAAATACAAAACTGTAAAGCAAATTTATTAAAGTTTTTTCTACCATGCTGTAAGTTATCATGACAAAAGTACCAAATTTAACAATATTTACCAAATTTTATCATATGTTATAAAATAATATTTTATTTCTAATTTTACTAAAACTATTATTAAAGCTATCCGGTAAAAATTACCGAACTTTCTGACGTTCCCATAGAGCCAGGAACACGATAAAATTGACCATATTCTGGTAGTTTTGATCATACTTTTTTTTTCACAGTGTGAGAGATTATATAAAAAAATTATAGTGAAAATTTCAGAAAACTTTTCAGGACAAAATTACTATACATGACCCACACTATTTTCTATTAATTAATTTTTAATTTTATTAGTTTAGATAATTTATTTCTCACTCAAATTAAGTAAACTAGAGAAACCTAGTAAAAATATTTTTATTAACCAATAATGTTTGATAAATATTTCAAATTGATATAATATACATGAATTAAAGCAAAAACACTCAAAATATATTTTATAAGAAAATCAATAAATTATTAATTCTTATTTTTTTAAAAAAGGAAGTCTAGTTTATGAACGATAATAATAATTCGAAAAATAAAGAAAAAAATACAGCACTCACTTTTCTCTAGATATTCCAATAAAAATTTAATTAAAGTACTTTTATACCAAAGTAAACTTTACTACTCTTTCTGCAGTTTTGGGGGATCTTATCTTATAGTCTCCTTATACATCTCTCTGTAAACCAGGAAAGTTATCTTATTCCCTCATGAAAAATTTCCTGATGCGCAAATACGAAAGTCTTATCACCAAAATCTTATCACAATTCAAAAATCATTCACTGAATCCATATTCTAGAAATTATCAGAAACACTTCATTATGCCTAAAACACTTTTTATTTTCGAATAAAAATAAGGAAAAGAGAAAAAATCAGTTGTTGATTTCTAAAATAATTACCATCATAAGCTTTTTCCAATGTTTTATTTTATTGATGAAAAAGATTTTTGCACTTTAAGTATTTTAAGGACATAAAGAGAATAAGAAGTGGGATAGAGAATTTAGTATAAGGGTTGTAAAAGAATTTAAATCTACAATTAATGAAAAGATACTATATTTATTTTATTCACATGGTTTTCGAGCCGAAGGTTTGAAACACATTTCAAGATGATACCTTCAAATTTTATGATATCCAGGGTAAATAATGAACTAGATAAAGATAACAATAGTTCTTAATTGATGGTGATTAATTCTTAAAACATTGTACTTCGTACTTCAATGATTAAAATATTTTAGTTCCGAGTATATTTTTAAATGAATGGTCATATTTTTTTATGAGAAAATGTTAAGCTAAATGCGCTGAGTCTAACATGGATTTAATATGTCCAGCACTGATACTTATTATAATAAATAAATGAAGAAGTTTTATTATTCAACATTTATGTTCCCCCCCCCCTAAATTTTGCGTAATGAAATTTTGAATGCATTTTTCTGATAATCGAATGCATTTTTATGATAATATATCTCTTAACTTCAAATTGATATTTTAATAAATGAAATTGCCACTAGTATTGTAGTAAATTTACTACCACTATTAAATGTAGCCCGTGGTATTCCTGTACTTTTGTTACATGCAACGGAATTAAAAAGTGCTTACTTCTATGTGAACCCCATTTTTTAAAAGTAAGTATTTTTTTCTCTTGTTTGCATTTTTTACTAGTTTAAGAAAAAAAAAGCATTGTTATTACTTGTAACTAAAAATCGTTTCAAGCAACGATACTGTAAATAGTGCAGTTATCTTACTTAGCTAAAGTGTCGTTGGTAAAGGCGATGCAATAATGGTTTTGCTACATTTATATTTATTCCATGTAATGTCTTTTTTACTCGGTGATTCTTTGTTTTTCATGGCATGTAATGTTTCTTATTATTCTGAAGTATTGATTTGTCCCAATTCTTTGTGATTAAAATGGGGAGTAAGCTTGAAATATCTAAATTTCGTTTTATTTTTATTTATGTACTTAATAATTTTTTTCATAAAAAATCTCTGTTTGGCGTTAAAGGGAAAATGTTCACTTGTATGAGAAAGCAGCAGAAAGTTATTTAGCAATGCAAATGCAAACTATGGGATTTTCTTTTGAAATTCAACTGCTTAGTTACGTGAAGATTACTGTGCTACTTGTTTCGATGGTTTTATTCAGGTTTTACAACAAAATTTAATGTTATTTGAAATTAAATCATATTAAAAGAACAATAGTTTTTGTTGAAATACTTAGTTATTTTTTGTTAAACAAGAGACTCATTCCCTAATTGCAAATCCAAAGTGCTTTTTTCTTCATACAAACGGAAAACACACTTTAAAAATATTCTAAATTAAATTATGGTATAAAGTACCGGCACTTTGAGTGCATCATCTGTATGTCCATTGTTATGGTACAATACTATACCGTAATTTTTACATTAATATTTTTTTAGTTACATTAATTCAGTGATTTTCAGTGTATACTTTTAAACTAATATAATTACATTAATTATTTCTTTACAAATAAAATTTACTCCCTATCTTACCACAAATAATTTTCTCTTTGAATTTCATTCAAGTTCAAATCAATTAAATTAATAGATCAACTTTTTTGCACTAGGGTTTGGAGTTAATATTATTAACAATATCTTTAATATTGAAACTAAATAAATACACACGTGCCTTGTGCAAAACTTCATTTGCTCTAAGTTTTTCTTGATAGCAAACTTTCGTCTATCAAATCCCAAAAAATTAAATTAATCCCTAAAATTAAATTTTATGTGAATACATATTAATATATCAAAATCATTAGAATATTAATAATGATACAATATGAGTAAATCAATACAATATTAATATACCTATTTTATAAATATTCATATTTGAAATATTTAACTTATATTTTGTGCACAATATTTCAAACTGATAACCGAGAGTTTTTGTTTGCAAAATACTACTTTTGAATATTCTTTTGATTAACACCTGACAATAATCACCATTAAGTTAACGTAATTTTGATCCAATTGTAATCGGATTAGCAAAAAATTAGTTTGACCGATGAAACTGACATAAACCTCTCTGTTTATGTTGTCAATATCACCTGTTAAAAAAAGGAACGTTTTTATTCACATTTTGTCACGGTAATCGGAACCTTACTGCATTATCTTTGTGAGTTCATTTTTTTTAGTCAGAGGTGATTATATTCGATCTGTGTGTAATAACTTAAGATAATTCTATCTAAATGTTTTTTTTCCAATGGCAGGCACTGAATTTGAATCTTTGCCTATGAAGATGCCGATATTGTTACTCATTTAGCGTTACCCAGTGGACACCTGTGAATCAAAGTCACTGAGGCAAATAACGTTGCCCACGCCACACTGCCACAAACCCGCTTATACACACGCACACAACAGAGGACAGCACAAAGACAGAGAGAAACATCCATATCCAGAGCGGGATTCGAACCCGCAGTCAGGCGAGCAAATCCACTCGGTCACCTGGCCGGCAGATAATTCTATCTAAATTTACTTCAACGTGGGATTTATTCTTAAATCATTGCATTTTTGTGATTATAAAAACTATAAAAACATCAGTAATCAGTTTCAATGGCCCCAAGTTATTATGAAGGATACAATCAGAGAGACAGTTGCGACACGTTTGCAAATTTTTTCTTTCTTTCATCTTTTGAGATTTGTTTAGAATTCCATAATTGAGATGAGAATTCCAACCTATAATTCTATAAAAATTTACTTCAACGCAGGATTTTTTTAAAAAAAATTTATTGCATTTTTGTGTTTGGAAAAACTATGAAATATATACGTAATCAGTTTTAATGACTCCAAGTTATTATGAAGAATGCAATCAAGCAGTTGCGACACGTAGTTAGCAAATTTTTTCTTTCTGTCACCTTTAGATATGTGTTAAGAATACCATTATTGGGATAAGAATTCTCTCCCATAGCTGTAATAAGAATTTATTTAATGAAAACAATAAAAATTTGCTGAAATTACGTAAAAAAGGGAAGCACTATTTTTTTGTAAAAGAAAATGCCATATGAAATCTTAACTTTACAATTTAAGGGATTTTCTAGTAGTATAAATTAATTTTTATTCCTTTTTCGGATCAAAAGAAGGCAAAAAATTAATTTTTAATGCGTTGTAAACAGGGCAAGATTTCATCCTTCAAAACCAGTCGCAGAATTTTCTAGTGCGGAAAAATACTATTCGTAAAATCAGGTTTCATACAAGCAATTTTCAGAGAGATATCGTAAAACATTTTATGATGCAGAAAATTCAACATAATAATTGCCGTGTGACTTATTAAAACGAAACGATCACTGAGTGGAAAATATTAGAAATATTATTGCTTGTGTGAAAGTTTAAATACTCAAATGCGATATTCCGAATACGTCGATCGTACAAATATCGTATTTAAAATATCAAGATTTTTAAAACCGGTGTGAAAATTGCCTGACGGATGCAAAATAATTAACTGTAATAGCTAAAGTTGATTTACAATGGCAATTGAATGAATCAAAAAATGATTAGTCTGATTTGATATTTACGTATCGCAGTAACATATTTAAAAAAAAATCGTTGTTTTGAAAAACTAAGGGAAAAAGACCATAAAAACAAAAATAATTGCCAAGGAAATGGTAGAAAAATGGTAGATGAACGATGGAATATTCACAACTAAATCACATCAACAGGTGATAACTCAAATTCGAAATTCGTGTGTCGAAATACAGTACTGTAAAAACGGAATTTGATAAACCATGCTGTTTTCCCAAATAACTCCCGAAAAAACAATCGAAAAACGACGTGGATTTACACCGGAATCGTCTCAAGTTGAGTTCGTCAAAAATTATCACTCAAATTTGAAATTCACAGGTCGTAATACCATTGTGTTAAAAGTATAGGATTTTGGAAAACCATGCAAAAAAGCCATAAAAATAGTTAAAAATAAACGACTACCGAAATCAGAAAAAGACGTGGATAAACAACGAACTAGCCGTTAATTATTCGCGTTAAAAAATTATTACTCAAATTCGAACTGCGGTTGTCGCAATATTTGTTGAATTAAAAAAATCAAATTGAAATTTGAATTGCCGGAAAAATGACAAATAATTATCGGAAAAAATGATGGGAAAAAGATGAGGATTAACGATAGAATCGTGGTTAATCGAGAGCGTGAAGAAGTAATCACTCTTATTTGAAATTTGCGTGCCGTAATAACGTCGTAATAAAAATATCGGAACTTGAAAAAAGACGGAAAATATCGAAAATCAAGACTACTAGCCAGTACTAGCAATTTTTGCTACTGAGATTTCTTGTAACTAGCATTTGGTTTTTACACCTAGCAATTTGCTGCTTTCCAGTCGATGAAACAACGCCCTGGTTGTGAAAGAGGTATACAACTATTTCAAAGTAAATTGTTTTAAATATTTTCTGATATGATGACATATTTGAAAGAAAATCAAAGAAAATCTACTTTTTTTTCTTCAAAATCTTGCAATTGGGAGGCAAATGTTTATTTATTCAGCATTATATTATTAGAAAATTCTAAATGAAACACACTTGATCGAAGTGTTTTCATGCATTCTTAACAGATATTTGATTATTTTTAAGAATACTTGTAGATTGCATTTAATTATATCAATAAAAACTTAGTTATTTATTTTTATTTAATTTTTTCTTGCTATAAAATAAATTTAAAATAACAAACAAAAATGAAACCAAGTGCGCCTATTGATGATTATATAAGTTT